CTTTGACAATGTATGTATTTTTATCTTTGTATTTTGTTTTTCCCTTTTTGTCATTAGTTTAAAAGCAATAAAATTAAAAGTCATTGGGCGAGTTTTATCTTCAATTACAAAACAACTATAAATTTAAGAACTTGAAATCTGAAATAAAAACAGCAAAAAACTGAAGAAGATTTGTTCTAAGAAAGTTCTACTGTAAAAGAATTAATTATACAGATAAATTTGAAATGTTGACTTTTACTACCATTAGTCCTCGATTTACGACCACAATTGGGACTGCAATTTCCATCGCTAAGTGATGTGTTCGTAAAGGAAGACATCATAGGACTGGATCACTTAGCAACTCCTGCCAGTGCTGTTGTTAATTGAGAATTGCAGGCTGTTAAGAAAGTGCTCGCCCCATTCCAAGCCATTCCAGGCTTGGTCCCTCCTAGCCACAAACCTCAGTGAAGAATGGGGCTGCTGTCTCCAACTCCCCTCACTCATCTATCTCCTCCCCATCCAGTGGTGGGATTCAAATATATGAACAATGGTTCTCTGGGTGGATACCACTTCCAGAAGTCCATTTTGGGCCTGGGCAACAGAAAATTAACTACCGGTTCTGCCGAAGTGGTGCGAACCAGCTGAATCCCACCAATATCCCCATCCCTGCCTTTTGGCTGCCCCTGTACTCTGCTTGTGGGATGGCATGCAGCCCAAGAACTGCATGGTTCTGGGGCTGCTTGCTGTACCCCAGGAAGCCACATTCACCCTGGCCCAGCTACAATTGTCCTTGCCACCTTGCTCTCTGAGACTCCTGCCACTGCCCCAGTTGACCTTCAGCATCTTTTTCCTTCTGCTGCTGACCAGGTGGATCCAGCCTAGTGGCTGGGCTGGGCTGGGCTAGGCTTTGCCCCAGGAAAAAAATAGTAAGTGTATGCCAACAAAGAACATTATCTATAATGTTATCCATTTCTTTAACAAACACAACTGATGAATTGAAAGCATGAACCACTAAATGCAATATGAACCCTGGCTTTGAAAGAGACAACTTAATTTTTTTTAAAGCTCCCTCTATAATTAAAACGGCCCTTTTTCCATTTAAAAACAGAATACATTTCATTGGTATAAAATTTGGCATTTCAAATAACATTTTACTGTGAATTTACAAATATTAAATATCTGCCTATGAACAGTCGGCTTTATTTTTGAAAGGCCAGATGCTTTAAAAGAAGGCAACATGCAACTGAGAGTAGATTTGATGCTTTGAACTAAATATTAGTTCTAGCCTCACTAAGGTCACTATGAATCTGTTTTTATTCAACTGGAGCAGACATGTCAAGCTCGTGACGTCACGTGACATCACCAGACGTATCGGAACTTTCCCCCCACTGCCAGCAATGGGGTGGGCGCGGTTTCCTCGTGATGCGTCCGGCCCATGGACCGGCAGTTTGACACCCCTGAACTGGAGGCATTCCCTGTATTTTGCATCGTGGCTTTAACTTTGTTTTCATGCGGTTGCAATTGAAACTGTATTGGTTTTATTCTAAGGATTTAAAGAGTAGCGTTGTGTCTAAGTGCATTGATTCCAATTCTATCTGCCATGTGTGGGTTTTCTTGAGAGTCACCAATGCTTCCAGCAACCACCCTGATGGTACATCAACAACCATGGTAGCCCACCACACAGAGATAGGTTGAGGTTTTCAATCCAGACCCCAGTTCAAGGCGGATTCCCATAGGTATAAAAATGTAAAACCCAATACCTGGCTATAAAATCATGTATACATTTGGGGCCCAATAAGTTGACAAGTTTTCAAATGACAATCATTTGGGTATTGGAACATAAGGGATACTGCTGAATTTTGGTTGGTCCCTGTGAATTGATTCTTAGCCCAACAGCATGGCAGCACCCCACTGCCACACATAAAGTCTGTGTACTGAGGCTTAGTTATCTCCTTAACTCAAATAAGCAACTCTTATCTATCTTTTATCTCAACAAGCATTAGAAAAGACTTGGTTAAGCCTGCCAATATGGCAAGGAAATAAAAAGAGGTGCATGAATCTGTCCAGTTGTTAGCAGTTGAACAAGAGGCAGGAATAAAGTGTCTCTGTGTTAATCTGCTAAATGGATCCAAGAGCCTATGTTATAATCCGGGGAAAGATAAGCACTTTTTAAAAGTCTTAATGAGTTCAGCAACAAAGAATGCGGCAAGCACATATTTCTCCATGCACATCAATGTGATCCACTCTATTTATTAATTGTATTGAGATTGTGCCTTCCTTGATGGCAGCTGTGGTCGAGCTGGTAATTTTCAGTTTGACTGTGGAAATGATGGGAGTTAAAGTGCATCACATCTTGGATTAACACAATGAGACACCGCAAAGGCCTCCCCCTTATGGTCTCTAATAGCAGTCTCTGTAGATGAAGCTGAGACAGAAAGACTGGACACAATCAGCCAGTGAGCTTCTAGGCCAAGGCAGGATTTGAACCTATATTTCCTAGACTGAAATTGCGGTAACTCCAAAGTAAGGATACTTAACTCGCAGTGGATTGATCGATTTGATCAAACCTCTTAATACATTAGCATTTTGCTTTGGAAGGACTTCATCCAACATCATCATTGGTAATCTATTTGCATTTACTTTATTTACATATCAAGCCCATCTCTTTTTAGAAATTAGGGGTGAATTATATTAAAAAATTATGTTAAAAGATAGAAGAAAGGGAAAAACCAATGTGGTAGATTGGGTCTATGCATGTCTACTCCAAACTATGTTTAGCGATTCACTCTGGTAAACAGAATGCGTCAAACAATACTTCTAAATATATTTATTTATAGAGAAATTCATTGGAATTCCATAGAAGTAAGTTCTGAATAAGACCATATCGAGCAGATTGAATGATGTTTGGTAATTCATGATAAATTTGCTGGCAAGTCTGCAATTCTTTTCCTAATATAAATTGTATTATGTACTCTGCTAGCACAGGCCAGCCGAGAAATGTGTATTACCAAAGCTGGCCAAAATTTACTGGAAAACAGAATGAACACCATACAGGATCTTCTTCTTTTTTCCATGAATGAGAAACCTACCCTAATCAAACTCCGAAATGTATATGTACTATCGAGTTTAAATCCAAATAGCAAAAAAAGAAAAAATAATCATCTCACACTGCTTGTAAAATATGCATAGGTTTTGGCAAATCTTCTGGAGATGTCTTTCTCTAGATCAGGTATCTTCAAACTTGGCCCTTTTATGACTTGTGGACTTCAACTCCCAGAATTCCTCAGCCAGGCTATTTAGTAAAAATAACCAAGGCAAGAAAAAGGGTGGTCCGCCTGGCCTCCTACTTCTGCTCTAGAGAGGAGCTATGTTTACTTACAAGCAGGCTTGCATCTGGAGCTTGGCTATTCTCAACCCAAATGGATTCCAGCCAGCCATGCCCATTCCTCTCCCAGCTGGCATATGCGGCTGCGCCACTTGGCAGGTGACAGCCACTGCATGCATCTGGTGGTGGCATTTTTAGAAACACTCCAGCAGTAAACTCATCCAACCATTTGGGAGAAGTTTCTTAATGTGGAAAGCATTTCTCTGCAGTAAGCACATTCTCCCCACCTCAACTCATTTCAGCACTGCAGATTCCCCCCCTCCCCACACTTCTCCTTGCTTAAGTTGTTTGGTGGTTTCTCAAACTCAGCAAGTGATTGGCCCTGCTGGTGGTACATTGGAAATTGTAATGCAACAAAATCTGGAGAATCAAATTTTCATCCTTCATTTAGTATTACCAACACTTTACAAACTGGAGCGAGAGATACTGTAATTTAGAATCTCACTAGCAGGCATCTTTTGACAAGGATTCCCAGGGAAACATACTAAATAACAGGCTGTACTTGTGAAGCCGAATGTCTTGATACATTTTAATCTGTCTGCGGAATCCTGATTCGTTAACTGAAATTTTTAGTCCACTCAAGTCCGTGTATTGGTTGTATTTCAAGGCCACCCAATTCTGAAACTATTCTTGTGGCATCATCAGTTAAAAGAAACAAAAAATTGAATCTCTGTATGAGGCAACATAGCCTCCAGCCCACCTCTAACTTAAAGGGGCTCACCCAGTCCCCTTAGCCTTTCTGCCAAGGACCTCTCCCTTTAGATCAGCCCTAAGAAAACTAAAAAAGAAAATCTTTCGGACCGTCCCCTCCAAAACCCAAAACTACCACGGTTATTAAATATGCCATTCATGAAATACAAGTAGCAGTTGTGTAATTGCTTGCGCATGGAGATTGTTTTAACAAATAATCAATTTATTAAGCCAAAGCAGCCAAATCTCTGGGCTTAAAAATATAATTTATTCGGTAATGAGAAATATACAAAAAAAATGAGGGAACTTACTAGTTAATCAGAGATTTCCAAATAAACCGACAGACCCAGCAAGGCTGAATTAGTCAACAAGGCTTGCATTAAACAAGATTTTTGGTTTCAGCACCTTGCCAAAGGCTCATTGCAGTGAACAGGTGGAGACATCCTTTGAGCCTCCTGCTTAAATGGTTTAATCAGGATCTCCTTGCTCTGCTTTCTTTTGTTGATGATGTTCAATTTTATAAACCATAGAACATAATTAGAAGCCAGCATCTTGGAAAAACAGTTTTCTTAGTCGAAGAAAATGTCCCCCATTTTTGGTATTTAAGCATTTAGACATTTGTGGCTAAAATGACTAACCCAATTGATGAAAACTAGACTGCAGTTTATCAATTGGACCATTATTATTATGGGTTTTTATGAAAGCAAGCCTCTTAGCATGGGTCAATTTACTGGAAAGTAAGGGACTGTCATCCATGGTATTGCATAAGATCCTTAGACTGTAGCTTACTTTATCCCATCTCCACTGAGGTTGCTCTGGATGTTGGGATCCGAACTGAATTCTACACACTCACAGCATATTTTACCCTCTTACAGTATGCCAGAGAACTCTTTGCAGAAGTTGGTTTTAAACATAACAAAAAAAGTTCACCTAGTGCTACAAAACTCACGTAAACAAATAACAATGTTTATTTAGTTCTTTTGCTTGTAAGATTGAAATAAATGCCAATTTAATAAGAGAGCTAAATATAAGTATTAGTGCAAAAGATACCAGAGCTGGATCAGTAATTTTTTTTTTCAAGTGCAGTTTGCTTCTTTGACTCCCCTCTTGTCTAGCATTTTATGCTTTAAGCCAAGGCAACACTATTATTTTGAATAGATGCCTATTCAAAGGCTGCAAATTAAAGAGCAGTCTGTTATTTTAAAAGATATGGTCCTTTAGTGCCATCTTGTGGCATATGCACAAAATCACAGTGCCATTTTGTGGCATATGCACAAAATCAGTCTGGTTCTCAATGTGTTTGTGCACATACAGGCCTTCTAGTCAGTGTTCGCTTCCCGGCAATTGCCTGTACAAGTCCTTGGAGTCTTCTTGGCAAGATTTATTTATTTATCAAATTTAGATATCACCCAGCTCACTCATAGAGCGACTCTGGACCGTTTACAGATAAAAGATTTCAAAAGTGGCTTATAAACTAAAGTAATTTTTACCTGTCTATAATCATGAACAATGATCTATCATCTGCCCTCTATCCAGTAGAAATGAGGAAAATATATTTACCATTTTTTTTACTTCCTTCAATTCAGTAACAAACATTTAGTGTAATACAATCAAGCTGAATCAATCCAGTGTAGGATGTAGTCCTCTTTTTGAAGACCAAGGATATAATCTAGTACACTGGTCCAGTACAGTTGGCAGAGAAATTTTTTGATTACCCGGAAGAAATCTAGATCTGAGACGGATTAATTGGCCCAGCCATCCAAATGGTCTCCCTACCCAAGACAGAGCTAGAATCTGGGATGAATCAAAGGAATCTGTCTAAATAACACTGGCAAGAGAAACATATAAACAAATAATATAGACCTATCAATTAAAAAGACATTTGGGGATTTGCCTCATTGCTTTTTCTGGAGACAATTTGAGGAAAAGTTCATTTTTATAATTTAAAAAGAACCAGTAATAAGGCTTATACACTTTGCTTCATTTAATTTATAAAATTTTCACAGTACTGGCATTCACATGGTATAATATACAATATATCTAATATAGGTTTATTTGTATTAGTATTCTTCCAGTCCTCTCAGTTCTGTACTGAACTGAGAAAAGGAGTAGAAATGGCCAAAGATGGGGGATGTTGGAATATGCCTCACAGAATATGACAAATGATACAGCCTTCCAGCCTCAGAGCAAACAAGCACACTTTTTCCTCTTGTTCTAATCTGCTGCTCATGTAGCTTACTAGTACAATGTAAAGTTCTGCCTAACGGAAGGCTCTTCTGTCAGAAGTCTTTTTGCAATATATTGCCTTTCTTTTTTCCTCACAGTCACGCTTCCTCCTTTCACAAAAATGGAAATAGTCTTTTCTTCAAGATGTAAAGCACAGTGGCCAAAAACAAGGCAAGGGCAAGAAAGATGAGCAATTTATCAGTCAGCTCCCTGCGGTTATACTTTGTAATAAGCTTTCGCCCCAGCTGTATTGTTCCAGACATGGATTTAAACTCCTCATTGGCATCCAAGATAGTTCGTGAAGAATTAACTGAAAGATAAAAATGTACATTTCAGTGGATTGTTTCTGAAGCATCTAGCACAAGGGTCTTCAAACTTGGCCCTTTTATGACTTGTGGACTTCAACTCCCAGAATTCCTCAGCCAGGCATGCCTGGCTGAGGAATTCTGGGAGTTGAAGTCCACAAGTCATAAAAGGGCCAAGTTTGAAGACCCCTGATCTAGCAAAATCATATATTGTGGAAGCATCTTTTTTGTGTCCTGTGAAAGAAAACACATCACGTGCAGTTCACTGGGTAAACTGGCTTAAAGCTTCACATTTTTAGATCTGGAGCCAGATGAAATCAGTTCAAATGGCTCTCTTGTTATCCGATGACCACCTGAAAGCCCAAATGATATGAAAGTCCAAATGAAGAGGCCCATTCATAAAAGACTGAGATCAGAGTTGGCTCAAGTTCTAGAACCTTCAAAACTTTCACCTCAGCCAAACTCTGCATCCCAACAGGCCGTGCTCTCCCTTAAGGCTGTTCACAAACACTTTAAAAAGGCAGATGTAAATAATTAAAACGGCAATGTATAAACATTCATAAGCATTTAGTTAAAGCAATCTGATCCATCTAAAATCAGATAAAAGCATTGAGTCTTTTAGGCCTACAGTTAAAAACTGAGAGGGAAAGGGCCAAGATAAACATATAGTGGAAGAGTTTGCGCAATAAAACCACAGAGTTTCCCAAAGCACATGAGAGGTAACTTAATGCTTAACATCTTTTGTTGAGGCAGATAAAAATACTTCCTCCTAGTTGCCACTGTTAGGAGGTGAAAACTGGATGTACACACACATGACTCTTTATCACAAAACAAAATTACAAAGCATCAACCCATCATTTCCTAGTCTAACCGAAAGCAAATTCAGATCTGACTCCCCAACCCCAGAATGGATTACAGCATAATCAAGTAATCTCAAAGGCACTTTAACGACCCTATGGAAAATGAGCAAGGGGTCCACAGTGATAACTTTTGTACAGTCAGTTTGCCTTGTGCTACTCGTATTCCTTGTAATATGCATTTTCAATCTCTTGAGATTTTTCTAGTGGTCTCCCTTCAAAGTGCTAGCCATTCTCTTTGGAATTAGCAAGACAGGCTAGGTGCTACCTTCTTTTGAGGTCATCACCATAAGCGAAGGAAGTAAAATAACAGATAGACTGATCTATGGGGGAGAAAAAAGTATAAATCACTGAAGTGAAAAGGCAACTTGCCCCTTAAATCTAAGTATCAGATTCAAGCATTTCTTTTCTTGGCAATGAAAGCAGCAATGATTCTCTCACACAGAAAACTGAATTCACAAACGTCTCCAGTGAGAGGGAGGTACATCAGGCCTAGTTCTCCTGGTTTCTTCCTCTCATCAAAGGACCATATAAATGACTAAAGGCCAATAGCTCTGGGGAGGGTATAGGGGTGGGAAGAACCAGGATAGCCCTGTTGCATCAGAAGACCAACTGTCCATCTTGAACTTAATTCCAGATTATTTAGATACCTAGAGACTGCATGGCTTCTTCACTTTGCTGAACCTGCTGAGACATCATCCTGCTAATTCCCATCAGGCTCTCTGTGATGTTACTTGCCCCCTCTGCCAGGTTTTCCTTAGTAGACTTTCTGAAAGAGAAGAGAAAAAGAAATCCAGCATGGAGGTTCATATAGTATTCCTTTACAGTTTCTTCTTCAAAATCAGAAGGACCATAGAAAAGATGGCCTCAAGCTCGCATTCCAGTACCGTTGTAAACATGCTTTCAATTACACACAGTTTCCTTGGGATGACACAGAGAGGATTTGCCACTCCCTTCTGCTGAGATATTTTGTTCAATTATCCAGTCTAGTTTGTGGTTCTAAACTATGAGGCTCCTGCATCCATCAGTTAACTAGGTCTATGCCTACATAGCTTCTAAAGCAACCAAAGTCAGTTAGATGCTGTCACTTGCTGAAGTTCTTAGGCTCCCTCAAGTCAGGCATTACTTCGAGTGAACTCAGTACTGCCTGAGCTGTCCTTGATTGACAGAGAAAGCTAAGAGGAACCAGCTATGGTTACTATCACCATCTCACAATTACGGAGTGATAGGCTAAATACAGAAGTAGAAAAACATCTTTTAAAAAAGTAAAACATGTTTTTACATCATACCAAGTTGTATATACTTGTCCATGATGACATCAAGTGTTGAGCTCATCGCAACTTTACTTGCATTAGAGCTGACCTGCATGACCCAGGTTGTTCCAGCCTGAGTATGACCTACTAGCCATTTCCTGATGGTAGGAGAAAATTACTTAGCTATCTTCCCAGCCCCAAATCACTAGGAAGGCAACCTCTGTTTTTCCTCTATAGGTCAAAAGTAGTGTTCTCCCCCTTACAGTATGTCTGTCAGTCAGGTTGTCTGATTTGCTTGCTACGCTTCATTAAGAGAGAACAGCATAGATTTATAATGGTTCACATGAATGAATTTCTGAAATAGTACTTGGCAGGAGGTTGGGAATTTCTGTGCTGATTTTTGATAATAATGAAAAAGAACAATGACATACCTTTGTCGTAAAGGATCTCCTCCTCGCAGCAATTCATCTTTCTCAGAATTGTCAATTGCAATTTTGCAAGCCAGGTTTGCCTTACGCCAGGCTGTCTGATTGCTGAAATTATTAATACACAAAGTTCATATCATATACAAAGTTCCTGAGATACCTGAATGCATAAAACTAAAGCATTCAATTTGCCATTAGCTTAATTAACATTTTATTAGCGTTCATATTATATTAGCTGTTACATTAACTGTGCTATATATTTATTTTTCTATTTCTTTATATCTTATCACCACATAAATAGTGTTTCTTAGTTGGTGGTCCATTTAACAGGGAAAATATCTGGATGCTTACAGAAATCAATAACTATTATCCAAACGTTTGGCAATATTTATAACAATGTGTCTAGCACTGAATGGATGGCCCGAATCAAACTATTATTTTTCCATCAACTGATCCAAAGTTGCATTGCAAATCATAGCTAATTGTGGTAACACAGTATTGTAGGGAGCTATTTTTTTTCTATGAAAAGAAGGAAGAACTCACATTTTTGGAAGAAAACCTCACTAAATTTAATGGAGATGTAAAGATGTCTAGATACTGCATTCTAGAGACCCTCATGCACAACAGGTTGAGTACCAGCTGCAAACAAAAATCAGTCCTGCTATCATAAACCTGTACTTTTAAGCTTGAAAGGCACATGATTTATTGTATTGTGGGGAATATGTGGGATCTGAGAAAGGAGTACTAAGATACTTGACTGGGAGACAAACAAACAAGCAAACTGTTCTGGTCCATTGTTACTTCATGTGATTCTCCAATCCCATCATTCCAGCCCATTTTACAGAGCTGAATTTTACCTTGATATTTAATTGATAAATTGCTATGTGCAGAGCAACACATAGTAGAGATTCTTCCCCTGAACAAACATGGCACAAGATATTTACTTTTTTAAAAACTTTTTTCCCTCATGAGTTCTTCTTGGATTGTGTCCAACTGAACTCCGCTCTCCTATCCATATGCCTTCCAAATCTGCTCTACAAGGTTGAAGAAGCTCTTTGAGTAAGTCTGGTAGTACAGAAGAAAAGCAAAAAGTCATTGAAGGCAGGTGATTTACCTTCTTGCATAATAACCACTTATGGTTATATCAGAGCCTTGATTACTTTAAAAACAAGTAGGGAGTTGCTTACAGAAAGGGAAGTATAGAACTGAAATATACAATCAATCAAATCTTGTATGAGGGATAACTTCAGTGCTTCCCATATTCCAAACTTCCTATTCTGCAGGCTCAGCTAATAAAATGTATTGCATCATTGGTCTTTGTAACTTGAAATTTTTAACTGACCTGAGCATTTGCTTTTTATGGTTCTCTACTTCTTGGAGTAATACTTGTTTTTCTGATTCTTTATCTTGCTCCTTAGCCATCTGTTCAAGTTCCTAAGAAGAATCATAAGCACATTATTTATGAATACTTCTATATACAAAAAGGGAATATGCTAGTAAATGCACAAATACAAAATGCCTTGGTTGCGAATAAAATGAGATGGATCAGGGATGTCAAAATTTTTCAGTGTTGCTATTTCATTCACCCACTTTCAAGTGAAGGAACTGTAACTATAAGAATATCTCTCTCAGTAGTAGTGTGCAGTCTGAATCACCTTTTGAATATCTAGACGGGATATTGCATACCCATTCCCACCAATGATCAAGAGCCATGGAATGTTGCAATCTCTCTCCTTATCTTACCCAGTAACAAGTCAGTACACATCTTTGATTTTTAGATTATTTACAGAGCATGAACAGAACACCTGGTGTTCTTTAGTGGCGTTTGAGGGTAAGACATTGCTTACTTAGTAAAAAGAATAAAACTAAAGGCCGTATTTGATGCAGTGGTAGGTGAATTGACATGAGAATTCTGATGCAGAACCAGCTGATATGAAGGAAAAGGAATTGTTTCCCCAAAGGAAAACAATTATTAGATCCCCCACATTATTCCTCTAATTAAAGGACATTAACTTTTCCCATCCCTGCCCCCAATAGGATTACTTTTGTTACTATATTTTAATTGATTAAATCATTGTCCAATATTGCACTTTGCAACATTGTCACCACATACGAAAACATGAGCCAACATTCTGTTAGATTTTCAGCAAGTTTTACAAAAAATATATATCAGCAACTAATAATAATGTTCCAATTCTAAGTATGTTTGAAATAAATTTATTCTATTGAAGTTCCCACTCTTCCGTCTCCAAGTTCTGCATCCACTTCATCATATGTCTTTAACATATTGAGACTATGAAGCATTACTATGAATATTTATAGTAATACAATAATGCATAGATTGTATCTAACAGATATTTAACATTATGCATTATAAGATTTTCAAATGCACACACAGTAACTGAAATAGCAGTAAAATAAATTCATGACATTTTCAACATTCTTACTATGAGTTTTGGTGAAACCAAGCTGTGTAATTTGTGATCTTTGACCATTGCTGACAGATATAAATTCAAGAATGTTAAACTCCTTTAAAAAAAAACTTTTAAAATAGTTTAGTGTTCAAGCAACAAGGAATTACATGCGGTGAGTGCAAACATGTGAGAGACAGAAGCTAGTAAAAACATCTATGGTTTTATTTTCAAAACACCACTAATGTTTTGTCAATATTCCTCACTTGTATTCGGAGACGTACATGCTGGAATTTTTCTTTTACTTTGGCATTCAATTCTCCAAGTACACTTACAGGTCCTGTACAATCCCGGATATCCTGAAAAACAAGAAAATTGTAATGTCAGGCTAGTAGGACTGGAGAAACCCAGATTCTAATCCATCCTCGGACATGGAATTTTACTGGGTGACTTTGAACTAGTAACCCTCTCAGCCCAGCCTATTTACACAGAGTTGTTTGTTGTGGTAAAACAGTAAGAGGAAGGAGTGTAATGTACATCACTGTGAATTTCCAGGGAAAAGTAGAAAAACAAACGTAACCAACACAAAACACTTTTTGCACCGATGTTCTCTTGGAACATATATCTGGATCCTCAAAATTCAGCAATTTCAGGAAGGCTGGATGATATACCAGTAGGATATTTTAAGTCAATTATTATTATTATTATTATTATTATTAATAATAATAATAATAATAATATAAAATAACCATTTGAAGGAGGGCTGCCATGGTGAGACTACCATCATACACCAGAGTAGTAGTAGTAGTAGTAGTAGTAGTAGTAGTAGTAGTAGTAGTAATAATAATAATAATAATAATAATAATAATAATAATAATAATAATAATAATAATAATAATAATAATAATAATATAAAATAACCATTTGAAGGAGGGCTGCCATGGTGAGACTACCATCATACACCAGAGTAGGAAAGACAAACAGCTGAAACATTACAGCGTCCAAAAAAGCAGTTGCCCAAATCTGGGGTCGCCGAAACGGTCAAGTGACCTGCAGTATTTATAACAGCACCGATCTTGAGCCAAATTGGCCCGTCCAGCTGCAAGGTTGACTGAGAGATGCAACTGAACAAACCTGTACCGGAGGGTCGACCATTGATAATAGAGACAAGCGGTTACGGGCTTATAAATAAAGTGCCCAGCGATCACACCGTGAATGATTGAGCAACGGCGACGGGAACTCTACCTGCACGGCGGCTTTAATCTCCAGGTCGAATTTGACAATCTCCTGATTGCAAACCCGGACCGGCACGTCACCGGCCGCCGCCATCTTGGAACAAACTACGGCGAGCGAGAAGGAAGCCAAGCGAATTTGGAAGGCGAGCGGACTTGGGAGACCGAACGTCCACGAAGAGAAGTCATTGGCTGGTGTAGGCATGACGTGTTCCTTTCTCACGAAGCGGCGTTCCCCGAGACTTCCAACTGCGTAGGGTGGACCAAGTGCTGTTGGACGGAAGGCGGTGTTTCTTGTGCCTCGACTTCTGCCACGTTTTTCCCGGCAGCCGCGCTTACCTGTGTCTTTGCAGTCAGGAGAGAGAGAGAGAACAGGGTCTACTACAGTATGTTTAAGATTGCGGTGACGGAATTACTTGGAAAGAACTGTAATTCAGATTTTCCCTTGCTGTAGCGTCTTTCATTTGATTATAACATGTCATGTTATTTATTGGGGTTTATATTTGTACCATTATTGTTGCTCTCTTCAACAGGGAGAAGAACTCGATATTTGAGTAGATGCTTTTTTTTTTCTTTCTTTGCGGAAAGTTAGGCCAATTCCCCAGTATTCCCAGATGACGTCATCCTAGATAGGAACGGAGAACTCGACCGCAGGATCACTGTGGAAATTGCATTGAATGAGCCATTAGTTTGAAATTATTTAATGGGCTCTTATACTTTTAAGATATCCCCTTTACAGAAAGCCTAAATAAATCGCATTATTTGATAAGTTCTGAAGTTTTGAAATGTTTTACTCAAATTCAGAATTGATCTAAAATAGGCTAGTGTATATAATGTAGGTTCAGCTCATTTATCATTTTCATTACTGTTTATAATTACATCTTACAGAATTAAATTGTTTAAGTGAATGCTGGGGTTTATTTGGTGGTTGTTTTGGGCTACTGATGCATTTAAATACCTTTTGTGCCTTTCCTTTTTGTGATAAGCAAAGTTATGTAGCACACAATAAGAGTTAAAAAAAAGCTAAAGCAATTGAAGACATGAGATGAGAAAAACAGGTAAATCTAGTTCAGTCATCACCCACTTACAAAACACTTTTTTGCCCATTAAAATATTGTATATTAAAAACTATTGAAGTTAAAACAAGCTGGAGACATCTTTAAATATTCCATAAAAATGAACAATGATTTTATCAAATACCAGGCACTTCTTCAAAAAGAAAAAAGGCATATGGCTAGAAACTAGAGCAGAATATACAAGTCTCCAGTTACAGTTAATATTTAACTAATTTTCTTGTAATAAGTAGAAAACAGGATTATATTATAAATATCCACATTTATTCCTCAATTAGTTTCCTTACACCTGCATACTTTTATCTCAAGAACAGATAAGTGATTTTCATCAGCTTGGGAGTCTTACATTTTTAGTTTATTAACTAAGATACCCCCCATAATATGTATGAAAAAATCTTTACTTAAATCAAGCAGATGAGTCATCATTCTTTCAGGAATCACCAAATAGCCCCAAAACTTTCATCTTCTACTCTGCATCTTGTTCCCATTTATTGATTCATGTTACCTGAGTAAATTTTTCTCTGAATTACAGCATTAGAATGTTGCTCAATGTTTCCTCAAAACTCAACTCTGGCAACACCAATCAACTTGTGGATTTCTACTTTCATACCCACTCATAACATCCTAATGATGCCATGTTATTTTCATTTAAAACCTTAATTTTCCTGCATGTGTTCATAAATTCAGTTTTACAAGATCAGACCACCTCCATTAATTACATTTTTTCACCTTTTCTTAATTTCCCAGATGTACAATATTTATTTTCATTTCATCCCTCTCTTCAGCATTTAGTGCTCTTATATTCTAAGTCAGAGTCTTCCATATGCCATAATTCTTAACAAACAGGCCAACAGGATTCTGTCCTCCTTTACCCATCGTGGCTTAGTTAATAGAAATGTTCATATAGTACTTTTCAATAAAACAGATATTATGTAGGTTAGGTCAATACTCATCATTCTCCAGTCATATGCATAACTATAACTTGGTCACACCAGGCCATATTTAAATTATAGCCCCCCCTCTCCATTTATTTTCTGCTACTGTATTTACTTCTGGAATTTCTAAGGGGATTGGTATTGGAGAATTTCTCAGAGGTATGTTATGAGTGGGTATGAAAGTAGGAATCCACAGATTGATTGGTGTTACCAATCCCAGAGTTGAATTTTGAGGATGGACAGAATTATAGAGAAAAAAATTGATTTAATGATTATTGACAATCCTAGAGACAAAGGCAGGCCTAAAGAGGGGAGGGATTACAGTCTGATTTATGCAAATTAGACAGTGGTGGGATTCAAATATGTGAACAATCAGTTCTCTGTGTGGATGCCGCTTCCGGAAGTCCATTCTGGGCCTGGGCAGCAAAAAATTAGCTACCAGTTCTGCCAAAGTGGTGCGAACGGGCTGAATCCCACCACTGAAATTAGAGTATATGAGGTTGTATTCAACAACATAGTGGTTGATTGAATATAAGACATCATGTGCCTAGTGAGAAAAGTTAAGCCATTGGGATTAACTATGAGATAAAGGGACAGGACTACAAAGACGAGAGGTTGAAAGAATAGCAGTTTATAGTTTCTTCCTTTACTTTCCCAGAGCTCTGCTTACCTCTGAGCATTTCTTGGTCTTCTGAATGTTATATGGCTGAACTGACAATTTAGTTTCCTTGGAAAGATGCATCTGAGTTAGGGGCTTTTAGCTCTCCACCAAATCATCCTTAAGTAGCTCTCCCAGTTGTCAGATGGACAGCCATACTAGTCTGTGACTGAGATCACATATTACACAAAGCCATGATTTGGTTTACTAAACATATCACAACTGTATGGGATTACATAAGCCACGAACTACTATGTATAAATTATAATAATTGTATTATTATTGTATTGTATTATTTTGTTTTGTTTTGTTTTGTTTCTGTGAGATGGTCCCATAGATACTGATCTCCACAGCTGCCAATCATGGCATTGGTCAACTGAAATGTTTACATAACACTTTTTAGTAAGAAAAAATAGTAAGAGGTATGTCAGAAAAAGTGTAGTCCAACCCTAACACATCACGTGCAGCATTCCTGACTCATAGTAAAGAAAATATCAATCACTTCTGACATACTTTGGCTTATAATGTGGAACTGAAGACCAGTTTTAAAGTTCACTCATGCTCTTCTATGGAAGACAGGATCTGTACTCCAGATTATTTTGTAAACCAACATACTGTTGCCCACATTCCATAAAGTAGGAGATACGTGCAATATACCAAAACATATTCAGAATGTCTTTTTGGCTGTGTCTGTGTGTGTGTGTGTGTGTGTTCATCTGTGTAAGCAATATATGTTCATGAGAAGGGCAACCATTTTAATATAGATGTACTAAGGATACTAAAGAAAAAAAGCCCAAAATCCTGACAGCAATCTACAGGTTAAAAATCACAGACATAAACACACTAAATGTACTACAATGTCAGAACTTCTCTTCACAATTTATTTTCAATTACAAAGGATGTTGCATACATTGATGAGTTTGTATGTGACTAGAAATGCTCGGGCTCAAGGATGACAGAAAAAAAAACAAACCAATATTTTGTGTCTTTTTTAAAAAAAAGGAAAAAATACACAACATTAAACATTATAAAAGTTGCAAACAGATCATGCTTTGAACAAGATATTTTTTTCTAAACAGAGACAAGACCTTCAATACATTTCTCTGAGCTCCAGCTGGAAATGGACCACAGAACATTATAACAGCATTACAAACATAACCCTGGTAGAGGAAAGTCACAATAGTTTTTAATGTACTATTTTTACTTTTCAAAAACTTTGCTGTGCTTGCATATACTATCAGATTTGCTCCCCAATCTTAAACAGGTTTACAGAGGCATCCCATGATACAGTGAAACCTACTTCCAAGTAAGAACGCTTAAGGCTGCAGCCCTAATTCTTAATCAGATTTTCAGTATATTTAAGGAAAGACGACTTAATTTGTAGAATATACTACAGTAACCAATGCTAAATGTTGTTTTGCATCTGTGAGAACAGTATTGCAGCAGCAGAAATTTCCATTATTTTTAGAAGCTAGAAATTATTTTTTGAAAAGTTTTTGAAGTTAGAAATCACTTCAGTCTTTCATATTGAAACTTTCATGGCTAGCACACGTTTGAATAGGAATTTAAGGCAGATCCAATGAAATCAATGGGAAATCAAAATAATGTACTTTTAACTCTTAAGAAATAGATATTTAAAGTCTTTTATAGCCCATTAAATTTTAAAATAATATTTAAAAGAAATATATGTTTAATACATGAAAAATATCAACAGTATCTGGATGAACTAAACTAGAAGCTTCATACCAGAGGCAATTCAGAGCATTGGGATGAGGTATGACCTTTATACCACTGGAGATACTAAGTTAATTCCTGATGAAATGGTAGTCTAGAAGATTCTCTGACATAATATAACATATTTTTTTCTTTTTTACTTAGGTTTAATTTAGGCTTAAACTTTCTATTTTAGAAAAAGTTAAGGCTACAGCCCTATATGCAACAGTGTAGTAAATTCCATGTAAAATGGGATATTTTTAAGCATGTTTGCTTAGGATTAGGGAGTGACCAGTATGTTCTTGTGGAAGTTCCTAACATCTTAAGAGGCTAAGCATTTCACTGCATGAACACTATCACCCAAAATAATGGAGGAAAATTAAAGAGTATACCTCTGAGATCCAATCATTAGAATGCTTTGAAGGAAGTGTGTGCTAAAGTGCCATTTGTCAAAGCATCCAGTTTTACTCTGGAAATAGCCTAAGTATTATTGTGGTAATGCCCTTACATGCCATGATTTATTAATTAAAGAGATTGGATTAGTAATTGACTGAAATATAATTTGCTCAATCCCTCAGGTAAAAACAAAATAAAAACAAAAAGCTGAAGACACTGCATTTTAGTGCAGTTATCAATTATACAAAATAGAGCTTTCCATCTGATAGCAGACTAAAATACATGATTTTACACCTAAAGCCTTACTTTAAAAAAAAAAAAAAAGAAACTATGAGTAGACAGGAGTGAAATTCAGGCCTCAAGGCCTAAACGTTTGTACAATGTCTTGTGACTATGCCTCAACAGAATTCAACAGGAAGACTGCTAAAGGTCAAGGAACCGACTGGCTATGCTATTTGTGCTGAAGGCAACTTGTAAGAAAACCCATGAAAAACAAGTAGGAGAATATTAATGTTTTAAAACTAGTCATATTTATAAGACTTACATAAGAGAAACCATACATCAGTTTTTGACATCTGTGAATAAACAAGCAGATTTATTAACAAAGGCAAACATCAGAAAAGTGGTACAGACTTAAGTGAAACTCACACTGACAGTACGGTATTTGAGAAATGTCTGTTGCTTTTAAGTTTAAGAGACCTTTAATCTGTTATAGAAGTTTTTGCTCTTTCTCCAGTACATTTCAACCTACATTTAAAAATAAATTACCAACCAGACTAGTGAAGTATGTATATCTTTGCCCAAGTCCTACAACAGTTTCACTGTTTTCACTGATGCCACAGTAGCATGGAAAGAACCAGTTCTCAACTAGTCAGAAGACTAGTACTAATGAGCCCCAGAAAATTAAATACCAAGATTTGCTCAATAAAAGAGGCAGAGAAGCTGTTGTTAAGAGATGTAGTGGAATTATTATAAAAATCCTGTTTTCCAAGACCACTAAAAATTGGTCAACCTATGCCAGTACAAACTATTAATATAATTTTAAATCAGATCTATTTGAAGTTCCTTTATTATGCTTTAATTGTTGTTTGCTTCTAAAAGGGTTTAAGGAGTCTTGGGGAATGAAAAATAAACTTGGTTCTAATATACAAGTAAGGCACAATATAAAGCCACATCATAATCTGTCAATGGAGTAAGTGGATAAAGGACAAGAACCATACATGGTACAGAGTAAGTAGTTCATCATAGCCATTCAAAAATAGAAGTGTGGCACTCAGTTTCAGACTGACAATTTTTTTAGCAAGAGCATGCTTTCAATGGAAATGAACTCTAAAATATCCAGTGTATGAAAGAGAATTTAGGAATTTAAAATAAAAATAAAAATGGATAATTGCTTTTGAGGGACATTAGAATATCCACAACATCTAGGCTTAGAAAATGACCAAAGACTTCAATAAGATCCACATTCCATGTATGAAGTTTGCAAAACCTTTAGAACTCTTCTAAAGATAATCAGCCAAAAATGCATGCCACAATTTTCCCAAACAAAACATGAACATTTGGGTTTTTAAAAATCTTTGTGATAATTATACACTAAACGTATATTTAATGACACTAGAGGAAGCAGATTGTTACTGGCATTAAAAGTACAACCATTTCTAGACTGTTTTAAATGCCACAGAGTCTCCTGGTTAAAATGTAAAGCTGCACAGCTTGCCTATGTCATCTTTACAATAAGATTAAACCAGCAAAGGTCTTAACTTTACTCTACATTTTACTGCCAGGTTTTATTTAGATCAAGTATCGCTGCAGCATTCTGACCAGCCCAGAGTTAGCAGCAAATGGCAGGAATCATATAAAATGCAATATCTTTTTTTCTTTTTTAAACAAAGTGCTTTTCTAAGATATACATACATATATAAATAGATACAAAATAAAGTGTCACCATTAAAAAGCTCAACTATTTAAAAGCTTTTTGACTATAACTTAATACATAGAAAACACTGAAATGCAAGGGTATGGAATCCACTAAAAGGGTTCAAAGTCTTTTTTCTTTAATTGCTAGACCAAAATCATACCAGTTTTCAGACATGCACGCACGCATACACACACACACACACACACGCACACACACATACAAGCTGCAAAAGCAGTATTAGCTCAGAGAAGACTGAGCTACAAAGGGGATATCATATCTTACTGTCAGTATATCTTGCTAAATAAGTCCTGATTAGAAAACAGCTGTATTGTATTGTATTGTAGAATGTATCTTTTCCATGCTATTCTGATTCAGAGTTAGAATCTTAGCATGAACGGTATTTAAATGCCATTTACCAATGAAACTCAACACTATTCCAGTATAGCACGGTAGATGGATATAAAATACTCAGAAGACAAAAGCTCCACAACAAGTGTTAAGTCAGGCACATTACTGAGCTGCCAGTGTTATTACGGCTGCAGTTTATCTTAAAAATCCTGCTCCATCAGGACATGCAAATTTCTGCTGACGTCTTACAAATACTTCCGATTTTTTTTAAAAAATAAATGGCAATAAACAGTGATTTGAGAGACATAAAAAGAAAAAAGCTGTAGGATGGTACAACTCTGTAGTGGTATATTGGCATTTTCCAATCTTTCAAACTTAAAAAAAAATGAGTATTAGGTTCCATTTAGGAATAATCCATTGAAGATGCAACAACTGCATTACAGAATGTATGTAAAGAATTGGGAGGTGGGGAAAATCCATGAGCTTTTTGCATTTTCTTGGAGCTACATCTAAATTATTTGGTATTTTAGTAAACAGTGTTACGTAGTCATCTATATCAAAAAAGGGGGAGGAAAGGCAATCATGAAACCATATAATGATCCTGTCTTAACATAAATAATTCTCTCCTTAAGAGATAAAGCTTTTCATTGGTACTTTAACACTGACTAAAAGCAAACTCTCGTGAGGCAAACTGCACACACATTTGTATTCCCCCAATCATAGAAACTATGAATTAACAATAAGTCACGTAGAAGTTTGAAGAAGCTAGTTCAAATATCTGTACAAAAATATAAAATCTAGAAATTCTTTTTTTTTTTTTTGCCTGTGTTGATTCTTGGAAACATCACATGCACAATAATACAATTGGAAAAGTGGCAACTAAGGAATTAAATATTTGTAGCTTTTTTTTTTTTACATATATACATATTACAATAAAAATAATTTTATTTTGGTTGGTTGGAAGTATACTACAAGCTAAATTTTCTAATTCCCAAAGTTGAAATCTGTTTTATCAATAGCGTACTAAAATCCAAATATATTAAAATTTCTACGATAAGTGCAGAAAACAAAAAAGGATTTACAGTCTTCTAGATGGCCAATTTATCTACTATGAACAAACTAGAGGATCAGCAAAATAATAATGTATGAATGCTCCTTCTGTAGATAATTGGACCCAAAGAGAGAAAGAAATTCACAGTTCAGTAAGATCCCTAACCCTGACCTTTAAGTTATTTTTCTTTTTATACATTCAGTACAGTATCATGTAAGCTGTGCAAAACTTTACTTAAACTGGCAGTTTGCCATTTCAGTTGCATTTGTCTTTGGTACAAAAATAAACAATCGCATTAATGTGCAAGTATTTGTTTTCTTCCGGCCAAGTACCGAAAATTATTTTTCTAGAGCCATCTTTTATACAATACATAGACTCTGTGGCATATCTACATTTTCAACATATTCCTATATACATTCAAAAATTTGTAAGAGCTGGAACAAATACATTAAAACCCATGAAACCATCTATATATCTTCTCTCCCATAGGAGTTTCTTCATCCTACAAAATTTTTACTATTCCGTGTTTATTCTTCCCCTTCCCTCCCTCCCTATTCAATACAAGGCACAAAGAGTATACGTTATTTCTTACTTGCACAGACATTTAAATACCGTATCAAGCTCAGAAAATTATATTTTTTTTATATGGCACACTAGCTTTATTGCTAAGTGTGCTATTTACAAGTTAGGTTACAAAGAAAACTTATTGTTTAATTTAGAAGAAAAAAGCAACAATTTTTGAAAAAAAATAATCCTTGAGTTTACATTTTTTTTTTAAACTTAGAGCATAAACCTGCCAAAATGTTTGGCATTTTACTAATTTTTTCTTTGCAAAAAACATATTTTGCTCCTACATAAGTTATATAATCTGGTCCTAGATAAACTTAATTTTAAAATAAACATGTAGCCATTACATTTATGCCAGAAGCAGATTTAGATCTACAAGGTTTATGCCTCAAAATGCCATTAAGCATTTTATATCATGCTTTCACTTACCGTACTACATTGTTATAAAAACAAAATAAAAAAATAATGGAACTGAAAATTGTGTTTTATACAGCACTAAACTCACATGCAGACCAGAATTAATTCTACAATGTAGTAGTTCATGATGCAGGCAGAGCTCTGATCAGTGTGATGGGATAAAATGATGTCTGTTAAATTTTTGATGTTGGTATTCGCAACCCAACAAGTCCTCCTGTAGGATTTCCTTCTGCTGTTTTTTCTAAAACCTGGTTCACAAATTCTGAAGTTTGTCCAGATACCGGCTGTCCTGGAAAAATGAGTAAAAACACATCTTCAGAATATTATTAAGAATTTATCTGTCCCTTGCTCTTTAATCCTTACAGTGTTAATAAGATCAAACATATTTTCATATAAAGTATTTGAAATCTGATTCCACTCACCCGGAATAGTCTAAAAAGATGGCCGATGAACAACAACAAGCTGAATATGTACATGTAATACATGATAAACCTGGGTAGGCAGCAACATTACAGAGAAGAATACAGAAGAAACTGACTGTAGTTGTTAGGTAACTTGAGGATAGTTTAGTCAATTATGAGGTCAGATAAATCTCAGTGTAGTACGCATTGTTTATAACCTTCAAATCTATGTGTAGCACTGTGCATAAAATCTTTTATTAGGAAATCATAATCTACGTCAGAGCAAGCAGCTACATTCAAAGTAGCAAGTAGCTATATAAAGGCAAAGCAAAAAGCAGCCTTTTTGTTTTGCCTGGTATATATCCAACCCTAACAGAAACATAAGCAAGTAAAAAAGTAAATTATGAGACCACCCTACAGAGAGGGAGCTTAACTTTGGTGTCATCTAACCAGTTTTGTTTAAATTAAAACTAGTACATTATGGGCATTCTCTCTCTCAGTGTGTACAAATGTAAATGACAGAAGAGGGAAAGAAGAATTTTAAGACTGGTAATTGTTGAGCTCTTGGATGAAAGGGAAGATGCACATCAAATAAATAAGGGTAAAAGATGACATGGTACCTGAGCAACCAGATCTGAGTTCGGTTTGAATCTGTTGGGCTTCAAGAAATGGACAGAGTCCTTACGACTGTGAGCTCAGCCATCTGCTCTTTAGATCTGGCTTGTCAAAGCAGCCGGGTATGTGTGTCTTATGATTGGGTTCTAGCAGTGGCATGAGGGTCTGGATGGGGAACAACAGGCTTACCTGAACCCTAGCAGAACTGAGTCACTTTGAGTTTGGTGTCTGCCAGTGCTAGAACTTTGCCTTTGTAGCTTCATGCTGTGACCAATTACCAGATTCATGGATCATGCAAGGGGAGGCAGTGCTCAGAGTTACTCATGCCCTAATTACTTCCAGATTGGCTTACTATAATGAACTTATACATGGGACTACCCTTGAAGAGTATCCAGAAGCTTCAGCTGGTGCAAAGTGCAGTACCATGGGCAGTTATGTGTGTTTCTAAAAAAATATTACATATCTGCTGTGTGAACTGCATTGTTGCCAGTGTGCTTTCGGGTCCAATTCAAGATGCTGTATTTTGATCTTTAAAACTCTTTATGACATGGGGCCAGGTTATTTGAGGGACTGCCTCTACCAATTACATCTGCTCATCCCATCAAATCTGGCAAGTGAGACATGCTGCATGTTCCGTTACTCAGGAAACTATATTTGGCAGGCCTGAGGCGGCAAGCCTTCTCTGCTATGGCTCCCACCTTATGGAATGTTCTTCCCCCTGAAGTGATTCAGCTCCATCCCTCCTTTATTTTCTGGAAGTCCCTCAAGACCTGGCTTTATCGTCAGGTCTAGGGGTCTCAAGGGACCAGTGAGATTTTGAGATGGCTCCATTGCTAAGTGGATCTCTCTTGTGTGTGTGTGTTTTTATGGCTATGCTTGACATGTTTATTCTTCTAATACTTTTTCTGCTGTATGCCACCCAGAGCCCCCTTTTATGAGATGGATGGCCATATAAATTTCATAAATTAAATAAATAAAACCAGTATTTTCAAAATTTAGAAATACTAAGCGGGAGCCCTATTTTTATTTTTTACTGCTTATAAATAGTACTATGTTTGTTGTTCACTTACCAAGAGTGTCTTTAATAAGTACATCAAGCTTCTGACTCATATTTGTTACTCTCTCATCTTTAGGACTCTGCACTCTGTTCACAATTTCTTGTTTGATAGAATTGATCACAAACAGTAAGTTATCTGCAAAAGAGATCAAGCAACAATATAAGTCCACCCTACTGTAATTTTTCTGAAAAGGAAGAGTACATCTGTTATGTAAAAGCAATTTTATTGCTTCCACTCTTCCACCTGAAATGTCCATATTGATATAAAATAACTAATAAAACTACATTAATACTGAAGACAGCTCATAAAAAGTAATACAGAAAAAAAAGATAGACTAAAGATTGAAAGGTAGAAAAAACATTTAAAGAAAAAAAATATTTGTATCTAACAAACAAATGGATGCCAGACAAGACTCTATGGGACACCCTAAACTACAATGCCCCCTTCTCCCTAGTTTCCCATGAAGCAATGTGGCAAACATTTCAGATGGTTAAATCTTTTAATGTCCTTACAAAACTGCAATAGCTTTACTGAATAACTTGTGAATTATCCATCTAGACCAGCTTTCAGATAATTATTATCATACTTCAAAATGGATAGTTTCATCAATCAGCATACTTAAAAGATTTAGTCAGGTACTCTAATATTGATAAATTGAAACTGATTACATGTAGTACTTTCAAGTACAAGACAACTTTTTTCCTTCTATAAAAGCTTACCATATTCAGTATTGAGTCCCCAAAGTTTAACTTTGTTGGCTTCATACTGAGCTTTCTTTTTCAGTCGGCAAGCCCTGTGATGTTGAAAAGGAAAAGAATTGGAAGGTGAGATATTGATGTTATCAAGCAGTACCCAGACTATAATTCCTAATTCCAGCTCTCATTTCTCCTTTTCCTAACAAAATGATTCCTCTGTGATTATTTATTTATTAAACGTATTTCTATCCCATCACAATCTAGAGTCTCTAAGACGGGTCCCGTGGACCTGTATCGGGCCGCAGCACGCCAGCAACCGGTCCGCACAAACAAGCAAAGACCCATCCGCAGGATGCAGGCAGCACACAAAACCACGCCCCCTCCGGTCTGGGGAAAAACCTCTCTCCACAAAACCGGTCCCTGGTGCCCAAAAGGTTGGGGACCTCTGCTCTAAGGCGTTTACATGGAGCAAATAATATAGTTTAAAAGGTGTATAGTACAATCTTAAAAATCGACAATCATAAATAGGAATAAAAAATGACATTAAAGCAAAAATGATACTATAAAAATAAAAAAATCGGCAACATCTTACCATCCCAGAATATTACAAGTTTCAGTAATACAATTAAATGTAAGCATTCTGGCTATACATAGCAGGCAATTATGATCAGGCATTCTTCCAATGTGCTATGAGAAGTGTGAGGCAAGACATAAGGGAGAATTTTAATAAGGGAGTAAGGAAGAATTTAATGCCCTCGGTCACCATGAATTGGGCTGCCATATAAATTTTTTAAATAAAAAAATAAACAACTTTTTGCATATGATTAGACTTAACCAAACTGTCAGATACAAAGCTATCATTTATAGAATAGCTTTTCCTTTTTCAATATATCAGTCTACAAATGCTTGTCAATAGGAATATAATTTATTAGATTTGTGTACTACCCAACAGTTAACTTGTATACTACCCAACGCGGTGGGGAGGGGGCTCACAACAAAATATATATAATACACACACGTATACACCCAAACATACATACACAAATGTAAATAGAGAACAAACAGAATTGCTAATGCTACATTCAGGAAATTGTTACCTGGAGGCAAGTTTATTTTTTTCTTTTCTTGATCTTGGTCTTGCTGTTAAGGGAAGTTCACTGACAGGGGTCAAATCGCTAATTACTTTATTCAGTTTCCTAAGTTCATTTCCAATTTGTAGCAATTTTTTAGGATTAGGTGTCAGATCTTCTACATCAGTCCTTCGTGACTTTTTAACAGCATATTTTCCTATTTAAATATATACAATCGTAATCAATAGGTTGCAAAGTTACATTCAATTTGTAGATACACATTTATGTTACAATGCTTATTGTATGTTATTTGCCAGCACTGTAATACAAATAAGAAGTCTATATGGACTTTAAACACCCTACAAAACATCTTAGAAGTCACTGTAGGTAAAAATAAATAAATACCATGCTGCAGTCGCATGACGTATAGTCAGAAAATCAGTAATACATCTGTTTATTTTAGGTTATTATGCATTTAATTTAAAGCATTTTTGATAAATGATGTAACTAATGACAATGACTTTCATCAATGACATAAGTATTTTCATTTCTTTCACCAAGTTTAATGTCTACAAACAGACTATTACAGGTAGTCCTTGAGTTACAACCTTTCATTTAGGGATCATTTGAAGTTACAACAGCACTGAAAAAAGTGACTTATGACCCTTTTTCACACTACTGCAGCATCCCCATGGTCACATGATCAAAATTAGGACACTTGGCAATTGGCTCTTATTTACGAGGGTTGCGATGTCCCAGGGTCCTATGCTCACTTTTTGCAATCTTCTGATAAGCAAAGTCAATGGGGAAGGCAGATTCACTTTACTGTGTTACTCACTTAACAGCTGCCGTGATTCACTTAACAATTGTGGCAAGAAACATCGTAAAATGGGCAAAACTCACTTAACAACTATTTCACTTAGCAACAGAAATTTTGAGCTCGGTTGTAGTTGTAAGTTAAGGAGTACCCATAATCCATTTCCTGCAAAGAGGAAGATGGGAACAAATTTTGCCAAAGTGTCACAAATGTTACCAAAAAATAGGGAAGAACTGTTATCCAAGTTGCAAAAGCAAATTGTTTTTATGACTCCTTCCTCTTCCCACCCCATCCAATGACTTCAATAAATTAATGGAACAGTGAATAAAAGTTGCATATTTTATTTAAAAAGGAAGTTACGGTGAGGAAATTTTAGAATACTACCAACACATATCCATGCATATTTCAATACCTCCAAATCCCAACACAATGTTAACCCAACACATATTAAACACATTTGAAATGCTTATAGGTCTTTATTTAAATGATACAGGGAATTCTGGCAAATTTTTAAGAAGCGCGCCATGCCCCTGTATACAGTGGCTCTCACCATGATGTAATCCGTTCTTCTGATACATGTTGCTTGGTAAGGTTTCACGATTCCACTCCGAAGGCCTTAGCATTCTCTCCTGCTGTGATGGTGTCAATTGTTCACTATATTCCCAGAAATATCTTCGCTTGCCTCTCTTTCGACAAGATATTGCAGTCATTTCTTTCAAATCTTCTACAGAATCATTTTCAAAACCTAAACATTTATAAAGTTGCACTTTTTTAGAGCTTGTCCGTAGCAAATGCACCAGAGATAGAAAGAAGAGAGTACATCAAAAGTAAGGGTAAAAAGGATTGGAGTAAAGGAAAAATGAGACTTTAAGCTTTGACAATTTCTGGCAATGTTCAATTTTTTTCTCCCAAAATTGCTGACAAGAGAATTATCAGATGACCAATGGACAAAACTGGGCTGATGGCATAGGACTTTTCCAGAGCACCTCTAAACCATTTTTTTTTGTTAAGCAGAGCCTGGAGTTCTTTACTGAATTGTCTCTTCAACTGATGCTTTCTTCAAATCAGCATTCTACCTCTTTGATTTCAGAAAGTCAAAATGATCACTGATTCATTACAGATATACAGTGCATATTCAGATACAGATAAAAGTATCAACTGGAGTTAAAGTAATATTATATTGTATTGCTTTATATTATATGCATATAATTTTTTAGCTTCCATATTACTCTTTAAACGAGTGGTCCCCAATTTTCCTGGCTTCCAGGGACCAATTTTTCACTCGCTCACCGCTTGTGCAGCCTGATTCCCAAACAGTCCGTGGACTGAGAGCTGGCAACCCCTGCTTTAAACACAGAGTGAAATTTTACTATTCCAAATCATCCTAGATAGGCATTTTTCTAATCTTGTATTAAAATAGGCCACCTGGTTTCACACACCAGATACGCTATTTTCCCCAGAGGTCATTTGCACTTGTGTCTGTTTATGCTCATAGGAAATGAATGTTAGATAGCTATTTATCCATGAATTATTTATATTAGGCTATGCAACAGAAAGAATAATAAATCACTTCATGGACAACAAGAAGCAGTGGCATTTATTCATTAGAATGATAAACACTATTTATGGGAAAACGTCCATATAGATCATCATAGAGCATGGCCATCCAATTTTCATAGAAAACCTTCAACATTTCCAAAATGTAAAAAAACCAGACCTCTAAATGGATGCTTGACAGACTGTTATATATACTGTTGACGATTTACAGCTTATTTTAAAAACAACCTACACTGTTCAGGGCCTCCCTCTTTGTGGGAGATGGGCAGTTTAGAAATATGAACTATAAACAAACAAACCGCATCAGTGTTGTACAAGACATTAAGTTACAATACTACACTGTTACAATCTAGACCAGGGGTAGGCAACTTCGGCTCTTTTATGACTCATGGACTTCAACTCCCAGAATTCCTGAGTCAGCTATGCTGACTCAGGAATTCTGGGAGTTGAAGTCCATGAGTCATAAAAGAGCCGAGGTTGCCTACCCCTGATCTAGACTGTGCTTCCTTTGGTTACATTAAGCAAGAAGTTATTTCACGTGGCTAAATACTCATTTTCGATTTTAGAATGTGTAATGCTTTCAAGAACATCAAACATCTCCAAGAAGAGTGGTTTAAATAGTTGGTATCTAGATCATATGAGTTTCATTACCTGGTTCAGAGAATGTATCACTCATGTCATCATCTTTATCGTCCTCGTAATCCTCCTCTTCATCATTTTCAGAGAGTTCATGCTCACTTCCAAAGCCTTCATCATGATCTTCATCTTCCACCTCTTCCTCGTCATCTTCATCCTCATCAGGATCAGCGTTGCCTGCATGATCAGCTGAGCCATCACTGACAAAAAGAGAATAATTATGCTCTTCTTTTTTCTGTGAAGGATCTGACACTGAAGTGCTAGCGGACAGATTGCTCTTCTCAGCAATAAGTCCAGGAGTTTCCTGGGGTGGAGTGAGGAGCAGAGCCTGAGTCTCTTTAAAAGGCAATACAGGAGCACTGTGATTCTGAAGTGGGTCAATTCCTTTCTGCTCTTGCCTCTTTGCTACAGCTCCACAGTAGCAGGTGTTTTCTTTTGCAGCATCAGCATTTGCCTGGCTCATAGCGGACCTGTTCTGGTGCACTGGATTGATCTTCACTTTTGCCTTTTTAACATAATCCTTACATTCAATGTGAATATTCACTTTCTCATTATTGTACATATTGGCCTTAACCATGATTTGTGTGCTTGAATTGGCCTTGCTTGCTTTCTGAGCAAACTCAGATAAAGGTGCTTCAGCCGGAGCAATTTTTGAGGAGCAAACTGGGGCGGCTGCTCTTGTAATTTTCTTGGTTGGCAGAGACGTTAATTGGGTTTGTTTTGCATTGAACAGCAACTCTGAGTAGCATAGTGGATCTGAGACAGGCTGAGAGTCCTCACTGTTGAGCTGAGCCAGAGTTGGAGTTTTACTTATTACCTCTTCATCTTGATACGGGCTTGAAAAATCATCAAGACCCAAATAGTCCACCTCTTTTGTTCCCCAAATGTCACAGCTGGTTAGTTTTGTATACTTTGTTAAATCTTCACAGTAAGTATCCCACTGATCCCAATTAGCAGGGAAAGTCATTTCAGTATCCAGAATCTCAGTAAAAGTTTCTAAGTTCTCAAATTCTTTACAGTCCTCTAGAGAAAGGAGATTGTCCCTGGAACTCTGTTGGCAATCCATTCCTCTGTCCTATTAAAGTAAATATGCATAAGCATATCAATAACAGTTCATGCATTTTCTATCCAGATTCTTACCCGTCAGCCAACTAAGACCAAAAGAAATTAATAATTAATATTTTATGTGCACCTTGAAGAACATATTGCACAAAGCAAGTTAAAGCAGTAATCCTAAAGTAAGTTGCATTCAATTCAGTGGATTTACCAAATGAGCATACATAGTCCTATGCTGTATATCGATTCTGAACATTTGAGGAGTCAACGATTCCTATGCTTATCTCAGTGCTTACCTGCCATCAGTTCTAGTATCATATAGACCTCTTTAAGCTCAACAAGACATTGTCAATGACACTGAATGAATCAGAACAAGAGACAAAGTGGTAAGAATCCATTCTTTCTCGAATTAATCCCATAACATTCAGATTCTGAAGTGCTTTATTTTAATTATATATTAAATATATGACAATACTGTATGTTTAAAATGGGCAGAAAACATCAGCCCAAACGATCAAAAGTCCGAATTAATCCTCTAATCAGGAAAGACTATAAGTTTGGAACGATGAGATTTAGAAAAAAAGTGAATAAAAGCATATATATAATATAATTTAAAAATGTATACATGACAGAGGTAACCGATAAGGCTTTTGGTCTGATCCAAAGGAATCTTCTCATTAATTTTTAGTATCCATCATATAAAAGTCTAATACACCTACAATTACTCACACATACGCACACATTTTATATTACCCCATTATAATACAGGCGATATGCTTAAGAAAAGTCAGAATTAAAATAGTTATTACAGAAGTATAAAAATCAAGTTATATGCTATACATCTAACACATGGTAGATACATATATTTATAAAGTATTATTACATGATAATTTAATAGTTGTTTTAAACTGTACTTCAAGAGGAAGAAAAATGCAGAAATGGAACAAATTATCAAGAGAGGCTGTGGCACCTTTTATGATTTCAAAGAGTAGCTTCACCTAAGTTTCTTTAGGAACAAGAAATATGCTTCATGCAATTAAAGACAAATGAATGTAGCTTACCAATTCATACATGAAATCTGGGTCAGAATTATTAGCCAAGAGATCTGTGCTGATCAGAGTCTGTTCAGAAAACATGTGGCTTTGAAAGGCATCTCCAAATGGAGGGTCCATTCCACTCACACTAGGCTATAATAAATTAATATTAGTTTGGAATTTAAAACATCTCAATTTTATTATAAAACAAAACAAAAATATCAATCCTTCAAACATCCTAACTTCTTTTTTTTTTCATTCCTACAATGCATCAGGAATAAACATTTGAACTTAACCTTTTAGCATTTTCTACATATAAATGTATTATGATTCTGGCTGACTTCCTGAGATGTGCTAAGTCAATTTGGTTGAGTTTGGTTTAGCATTTTTCCAAACCCACCATTATTTATATCTGTGAATCCATCCACTGTCATTCATTCAATAAAAATGATTAAAACAAATGATGGGTTTGCAGAAGGTGTGACCTCAACATCTTTCTATCCTATCTACAATATCTGGAATTAAATAAAATGTATACTATAGCCATCTAAACTTACTTTTTATTGGTAATAAAAACTGTCCTCATCTTCTCTTCTCTTTTTATAGCATAATGGTCAGAAGAGGGAGCAAGTTCTACATGCCTTCTTCCATGTATTCCTGTTCTAAGCAATCCACCAAAGTACATTCTTTTTGGGAAGAATAATGATGATATGCTGGTAGGTACCAAATTAGATGCAGCTCTTTTAAGCTATTATTTTGCTTTTGAAACAGTATTAAAAATTGCTTAGATAAATATGGATTGGACATTTACCTGAGGCATTTCCAGACCCAGATCCTCCAAATTCAGTTCCAACCTTTTTGCTTTCCTTGCTTGCAAATTCTGTTCCAGCTTTTTTTCCGGGTTAGTAGGCAGCATATAACTCATACAATGGCTAGTTGCAGATTTTTTGCTAGGAAAATGTTTACTCTGATTACTTAGAATATTTTTTTCTCTGGGGAATTTCTGCCTGAAATGAAAAGAAAACCATTAAGTGATTTTACATTAAATGCATGCTTACATATATACCTGTTATTTTCCTTTAGGATAAACGAAACCACAATCATAGAATCATTTTGGCTTTATTCATTCTTCACAACAGATCGTGCGCTACCTAACACCTTTTTTACCATGATCTGCCCCATGTTCCCTATTTTAGTTAGTAAACATGCTGCTAAGAACCCAGATTCACTCATTTCTTTAAACTGTTCACTATTGATGTACAGCTTGCAATAAGTTACTCCATCTTCCTCATCAAACCCAAGTATTTTAGTCCTCATTTTTTGCTGCAATTATTTTTAAATGCATCTCTCTTCTATTTTCTCTTTCTCTTCATCCTATCTTTTCATACTTCCTATTACGGTAACATAACTGCATAGATTTCGGAAGCAATTTGTAAAACAATTCTGTTCCAAGCAGCTTCCATATAATCTTATGTCCACTGGGATTGTGTTACGAGATTAATTTAATCTAATACTTTTTCCACAGTGGACTTGTACTTTCTATTCCTCCAGTTTTTCATTTCCATTCTATCTCTTTCACATTTTCTCTTTTTATCTGTTGTCATATTTAGTATCAACATTCTGAGTTAAGTTTGGAAACAAAGAAATGGTCTGTGCAGCTTTTTTAATATATGTTTCCTTCATCTAAGCTCTGCTCTGAAACACAAGTTTGTATTCAGAACATTTGCAGTGACTGTTTCTCAATTGTTTTCAAAGACAGCCACACACTGTATGTAAACTGAACAATGTGTTACCAGGATGTGGAATTGATCCAGGAATCCTCATTTCAATAAAATGAGTATCAAAGTACAAACAGAGAATGGAACTGCTTCAGCCTAATGTTAATATTCAGATGAATTATTTTAACATGGGCCAAATGTTTGTGCTTCTACAGTAACTGGTAAAGAAAGAAAGTAAATGGTCCTATGGATTCACAGGAATTCATATTCATACACAAGAGAAGCTGCCTATTACGACTTTACAGAGGCAATTATTTTGAGTTGCTTATGCTTTCAGTCTTTGCTGATGATAGGCTATTTTGTTATTGTGAAAGAGAATATTTTAAGTTCTACTTGTACAATTATTCCTAATATAATAGAATTACTTTCAGATGGGCACATTATCCTGACTCATAAAAGCATAGCCATCCTTTATAATGTGTAAAGCTATTTTTCCAAATGTAAGAAAACATATACTTCCAAATGTAATTCAAATAAAATATGAAAATTATATTAATATGCATATCAAGTTTCCAGTTTGAATAGTTTCCATTCCAGTCTGTATTTGATTATGCAGAAGTAAATGATTTATCTATTGCTGCTATTATTTTGATGTTTTATTAGTTCCTGATTTCAACTTCATTTATCAGTGTTTTTAATGTCCCAAGTTATGATTGTGGTGTTTTTGTGAAGCCTTTATATTGTTCTACTACTGCTTATTACTGGAATTTTTGTTATTTTATGGTCTAAAATCTATTAAAATAAGCACCCAAAAGTTAAGCATATTAAAGCAGGATGACTACTTTACATACTAAGAACAATTTTACATAACAACAATTAGTGAAACTTTAGCACGTTAAGATATACTAGAATAAGGAAACAAAACAAATCCTAATAACTCTTATTTCTAATAAAAAATCTCCTTAGAGGCTATATAAAAAATCAGCCTTTTTGTAAAGAATTAGACTTTCTTAGAATTTCCATGTATAGCAGCTGCATTTTGACAAACTAATATTTAAGATTTGGCAGATTGTTGCAAGGTACCAACTAAGCTAAGCACATTCAGTCTACTAAACACAGCAGATAGCATTAGCAAAATAACTTATACAGTGCTGTGCCACTTTCTACTAGGTTACAGAAATGACATCGTTCATTGGTGACTTTAGAAGCAAAGGCGTCAATTAAATCAATTCACTGAACAAATATTTTAAGTTGATTAAGTTGGTATTAAACTTAATATTTTAAATTAAGTTCCTACAGTAAGGCAAAAAAATACCTTACAGCTTTTGGCAAGATAAAAATAGCATATTCATGAATTAAAGCTGACTTCTATCGTTCCAATCTTTTGTTTTGATTTACTCACACATTTTACATGCTTTATTGTCTCTCTTTGCAAGTGTAATAAAAGACTGTGTTTAAACTTAAGGATACTGCTGGTCAGTTTCAAAGTTTATATGAATGTGCTGGAATAATTAAATTTGGTTCCATACAATAATAGATAAACAAAACAACACAAGGATCATACCTGGTTCTGCTTATTTGCATCATCTACTGTTATTCTATAAATAATATTTATTTCATGAAAATTTTATAAATGAACAAATTGTTCATCCCCTATACTTATTGACATGAAAATTCTCCTTTTAAATATTTATGCAGGCAATAATGATATATATAACGATTATAACTAGAAGACTATAGAGGAATATAATCTAACTCACAACAGCTATCACTGAATGTCTTAAAACTATCTCTGCACCATAGTAAAATTGCAGTTTTGCTAGCCTTTTAAATAAATTAACCTTCATGTTACTATTTAACTGTTATTTAACGGAAATCTGCCTTTGTTGAACATTAAGTGCAACATAGTCATTTAAATTACTAAATATGCAAAGAATTAAACCTTGGATGGGTTTTGTAGAATCCTGTTAACTTGTGTAGATACAAATTATTAACATTGAAAAAGTTCTTAATCACAAGGATCCAGTTCAGTTAACTCAGGAGCACTACAAAGGCAGCGTATGTATATACTTATTTATTTATAGGTTAGTAATTAACACAGATTTTACAGCTGTAGATTTGGTTTAGATTTGATTCCAAAAAGATCCATTTAGATTTGGTTCCAAAATACACCCATTGTCATTGTCAGTCATTCAGTCCTGTCCAACCCTTGGCCATTCTATGGAGCCACACTCTTCATGCCCTCTTGTCTCACATAGTCTTCTTTAGATCTACCATGGTCATGCCAGTGTCTTCCTTCCTTTATAGTGTTCAGCCAGCGGGTACTAGGGTGGCCCCTTCTCCTTTTTCTGCTGATCACTCCCAGCATGATTGACTTTTTAAGTGAGTCAGCTCTCATGACACGACCAAAGTATAACAGTCTTTGTTTGGCGATCTTGGCTTCAAGTGATATTTTTGGTCAGTTTCGGTCTAGGACTTCTTTGTTATTTTTGCAATTGATGGGATTTGTAATAGTTGCTTCCAGCACCACAGTTTAAAGATGTCCACCCTTCTCCTATCTGCCATTTTTAGAGCCCGGATTTTGCAACCATAAGTAGTAATTGGGAAAAAAATTGTGTTAAATAATTTGCATTTGGTTGTGAGGCTGATGTCTTTACTCTTTCAGATGTTTTTCATGCCGGACGTTGCAGTTCTTCCAAGTGCTATATGCCTTCTGATCTCAGGGCTGCAGAAACCAATTTGGTTGATTTTAAAGCCCAGCAAGATTAATTTCTTTATCTTTTCAATGATCTCACTGTTAATCTGCATTCTGACCTGTGTGTTCTCTGCAGTTGTCATCATCTTGTTTTCTTGATGTTAAGGTAGTCTAAATTTTTCACTTTCATCTTTTGACTCTCAGGATTAGCCACTCCAAATCGTTGTATCATCTGATATTGGAGGTTATTGATATTCATACCATTGATTTTAACCCCAATGGTAGATTCTCCAAATGTGCATTTCTCATAACTATTTCTGTGTACATGTTCAATAGGATGGGTGACAGGATTCAACTTGTTGAGTGCCTTTTCCAGTTCTGAACCATTTTGTGTCTTCATATTCCATTCCTATAGTGGCTACCTGATCAGAGTACAATGACCGAATGAGCTGGATATGATGTGTTGATATTCCAGTTCTTGTTGTCATGGTCAACACAGTCGAAGGCTTTTGCGTAGTCAATGAATACAGCATCTGTTTGAAACTCTGTGTCTCTTCTTGGACTGTGCAGCTGGCTTAAAGATGCAGGCCTTTAAAAAACAGACAGGTGCTATGTTCATAGTTCCTGAGCCCCCAGTTGCATCACCTAGAGGAGGATATAGGCTCCTGAGCAATACTGCGTGTATTGCTTGTAATGTAAGAAAAAGAGAGCAACATCTGACTTTTTTTTGCTATGAGGAAAAATGAAAGATATAGGTCATCATAATGTCCATTCACAATAATTATTGCAAGGAAAAATGAGCACAGATTTAAGTCTAAGTAGCATTCCATCATCCTTTGTTCTGACTACTCAAATCACCCTGCTTGCATCCTTTAAACTGCTTTAAGCAGCTGAACAGAGCAGCATCCTGAGGCATCTAATTTTTCAATTTGCTTTCTATTTTTGCCTTCAATGGAAAAGCAAAATTACAAACCACACATAGATTATTTAGTCTTGGAAAATGTTATTTTTCTTTTTGAAATTTTAAAGGACTATGAGAATTCTTTGCTCAAAACAATAGGGTTTTTAAAAAAGAATAAGGAAGTCTTCATTTTTCTAGTTCCAGAGTTCTTGCTTCCTTCATTTATTTTAAAACTGACTTCCAGAAGGTGGCCTTTCACACTCTTGAGAGTGGTATTTATGGGAAAAAATTTTTTTCCCTGTGTACAGCTTGGTGTACAGAACACAACACAGACTTCAAATGTGCACACAAAAGTAATTTTCTCTGTTAATAGCTTTGACAAACAACTTTGGCACTCATGACTATTATGCCAGATTATAAAAATTATGCTTTATGCTATATGAATGTGTCCTTATGCATAATGTATACTGTATACTGTATAAACCTTTTATTCAGAATGACAACATTGATTCTGCTTGTGCCTAATACTACTATAGATCAATTATCATAGCTGACAATGAAAAGCTCCATTTATGCCTCCCTTTCTCAACTTGTGCAGGTCCCTACTTTCATTATGACATTAGTCTAGCTGCAGTGGCACAGAGAACCCTGCATGTATAATTACAATTTCCTCAACCAATACATCCAGTGAAC